GAAACCTCTCGAGCTGGACGCGCGCCATCGTGTTAAGTATGACGAGCTCTCGAGCGCCTCGAGCTGACGGCACTGAGCTTACTATCACAGCCCTTTCTGGCACCTGATGGAACGCTTCGACGGCACAAAGTCTCAGATGGAGCACGCCGTCCGGATTATGGACGACTTTGCGTACGGCATCATCGCGCAGCGCGAGATCGAGGGACGCGACGGCAAGAACTCGGCCGACACGGATGTGAGCAACGTTGGTGTATTTGCTGGTTCATCTTCGTGTCCTGACTTCTATACACTTGCGACGGCTCCTCGCAGCTCCTGAGTCTGTACATGGCGCTGAGGGACGAGAGTGGGGAGCCGCTCTCGCGTCAAGCTCTTCGCGATGCTCTCCTCAACCTCATCATGTGAGTCCGCCTTCGGAGAGCCCCGTGCTCGAGTGTACAGGCAGGAACCCTGACCGCGACCGGTGTCATGTACAATTCGGCGACTGTCTCACAGCGCCGGCCGCGACACGACTGCCCAAGGGCTCTCCTGGACCATGTTCCGCCTGATCCGGGACCCTCAACACTTTGACCTGATCCGGAACGAAGTCGCCGAGCTCAGCGAAGAGATCGACTACGACACTTGGCGCTCTATGCACGCCACGACGGCTGTTTTCGAGGAAGGCTTGCGTTTGCATCCCAGGTGAGCTTTTCGGTCTGCACGCAGCTGCTCGGTCTCCTTGCTTAGGCGGGTTGCAACTACTGATCAGCGTCATTCAACAGCGTCCCGAAGAACGCGTGGGAATGCGTTGTTGAGGGCGACGTCATGCCGAATGGTGGACCGCGCATCGAAAAGGGCGACCGGTGAGTCTGCCTGGGTGTTCTCCTGCGCACAGACCTGGCGTGCTGCGCTGACGATCACCGGGGGTTCCTGGATCTACTCCAGCGTTTCATGGAACGATTGGTGCAGAGCTCGCGACCCGGAGATCTGGGGACCCGACGCGGCCGAGTTCAAGCCGGCGCGCTTCCTCGACGAAAAGGGCCACCTGATCAAGCCGGACGAATGGAAGTACCACGTCTTCAACGGCGGACGTCGCCTCTGCCTCGGGATGAACCTCGCCCTCTTCGAAGGGTCGGCTGTACTCGCCGCCCTCGCGCGCGAGTTCGACTTTCAATTCGGCAAAGACTACCTCGCCACGGTCCCCATGTGCGAAAACGACAACACGCCTCTGTACCGCCCTTCTCTGACTCTTCCGATGGTGAGCTGTCCGTCTCCTGTACTGGCCAAAACACCACTAATCCAGCGCGTGAATTGCAGGCCGCCCCGTTCATGGTTCGCGCGCAGAGGAGGAACGCCGCTTGAAAGCTTGAAAGACGTCGGTTTTTGTTTGTCGATTATCGGTTGTAGTAAATGCCTGTTGTGAACCTCTCTGTCAGTGCCATGTAAATATCTCTGTGTTGATGCCATCTTTACAGTCGTGGATCGCTACCACTTCTCGGAAGCGAATGCTTTTGTCGAGAGTTTCAGAGCGAGCAAAACCTTTTTCCCGAGGGCAAACTCTAGTTCGTCTACTTCCCCTCGCCATAGAACGGGTAGTCTGTGTATCCTTTGTATTTATCTGCGCCCTTGGTGTAGAAGGTGGATCGGTCGTATGGCGTAAACGGAAGGTCCTCCTTGATTCTCCGGACGAGATCCGGATTGGAGATCCAGTACCGCCCGAAAGCGATCACGACGTTCGAATGCTGCTCAGCGGTGTCGTAGGCAGTGTCTGCGGTGAAGCCGCCGGCGAGCAGGAGAGGTCGAGGAGCCCAAATGGCGTGCTGACCAAAGTTGCCCCGAGGTCAGCCAAAGCTCTGTTCAGCTTCGAGCAAGGGTGCCGAGAGCGAGACAATGGACTCACGATAAAGTCCAAGTTCTCGCCTTCCGGTACGTCGACAATCTTGTGTCCGGTCTCCGAGAACCGCGCCTCGACCGAATGCAAGTATGCCAAGTCCGGATGCCGTTTCGCGAGCTCCTCGACAAAGTACCCGAACGTCGCCTTGATCTCGGCCGTCGTGGGCATCTTCATCTCCTGGAAGGTACTGAACGGCGAGATGCGGATCCCGACGCGATCTGCGCCGACGGCTTCGACCACGGCTTGCGCGACTTCGAGCGGGAACCGCGCGCGGTTTTCGACCGAGCCGCCGTACTCGTCCGTTCGATGGTTGGTGTTGGTTTGCAAGAACTGATCCAGCAAGTAGCCGTTTGCGCTGTATCGAGGACAGGCCCAGTGAGCGGGAAGTTTTGGTCTACTGCAGAGCGATGAGTGATCGGACGAACTTGTGAATTTCGACGCCGTCGCCACCTGCGTCTTCCACGAACATCTTCGCGGCCCGCGCGTAGTACGTGACGTAGTCCTGCAATCACAGCGGCAAGTGTAAGAGAGGGGCGCATGCGTAGCAGTTCTCATGGATGCTCACCTGAATTTCCTCCCTGCGCAGCGGTCGCGGCGTCGCTCCTCCCTCGAGCGGGATGTCGGAAGCTGAAACAACGTCCGCCGCCGATTCCTCCTGGAGCACTTCGGGCTTGGCAGCTCGCCCGAGTGCCCACAGCTGCAAGTAGATGAACGACCCCTTGGCGTGCACCTCGTCGACAATCTTTTTCCAAGCCGCGACCTGCGCGGCGTTGTAGCAGCCTGGAGCGTGGGTGTATCCTCCGGCGACGGGGTCGATGAATGTAGCCTCGGTGATCAGGAGTGAGCCCGCGCAGCATGCACGCTGGCCGTAATATTCGACGGCGAGGTCGTGGTGGACGTGTCGCTCGTCCGCGCGGTACCGCGTCAGAGGCGCCATCGCGATTCGGTGCTTGAGGGTCATGCGTCCCACGCGCATCGGTCGGAAGAGTAGAGGATCCGCGGTCATCTTGGTCTTCGGCTTGGCGGAGAAGTTGCTGTGGCTAGTCGAAGGGGCGGTTGATACGGCAGTTCAGCAGGAGATGTGGCGGGGTCCACGAAGCTCCACGGGCTACTGACGAGCCCAGTCCAGCGATACGAGCAGAGCAGAGCCGAACAGCAGAGATTAATCAGCGGAGCGGACCGAGTCGATCCGTCCTTCAACACCACGCGGTCGCGCTAACTTAGGGCGGAGCCGGTCCAGAGGACAGGTAGGCATTCCGAAGCCAGCTGATCGTCTGAGCTCTGAAGAGTCGTGCATGTATAAGTTATGAGGTACTTGAAGCAATTCAGTTGAGAGAGCGATGACACGGCCGACGGATTCCGAGGGTTGCGAAAGAGTTGGGGGCCCAAGTGTCTCCAGAGAGTTGCTGCGAGACTTGCGTGAGGGTGACGGGCGACGCTTGGGGCAAGAGTTGGTCTACAAGGACTGAACAACGCTTGCAGCGCCCAAGTCTCGAGGGAGGCTTGAGCTGCAAGGCTCGCCCGAGCGTCGGAGCTTTCGAGCCTTGGGCAACCCTTGCAGGACCTCGGGCTACGGTTACTTATAGAGATATAGAAACCTTGGTTCATACCGGCAGTCTACTGTTTCGGCCCCGCTATGTAGTCCGGAACCAGGGCTCTCTCGAGGAACAACTCGAGGAAGGGGGCACGCGGCCGCGGCGAAACGTCACAAGTCGAGTTCACACTGAAGCGCTGTCGCCACCGCGCCGACTTGGCGACGCACGCTCCTTTCTCTCTTGCCTCGCTCTACTTCCAACCCTGAACCGCATATCGGCCGCTACGCAGGCGAAGAGTTCAAGGCGAGAGCTGCACGTTGAGCTTCGGTGAGCTTGCGCTTCCCTCCCCCGCCCGTTCTTGCCGAGACGAGCACCACCCCATTTTCTCATCATCACGCCACGCCCTCTCCCCTCGCCGCTTTATCGCTCGTTCCCCGCCCGCGCATCGCTTTGGAGGACGCCGAACGAGGGGGATAGGAATGCCGACTTGGGCAGTGCGCTGAGAGGAGCGCGACGGGGTGGCGGATGCTGATGCTGCTCGCTCCGCCACGCAAGACGAGACAACTCTCATCGCGGGAGACGCCTCAAGACGCCTGTTCAAATTCGATGTTGCTGACGATGCGGGTTCCAACGCGCAGCTTATCGACTTGAGATCGGCGCATCCACTCCCTCTGTGCCGCTCGTGCTTCTCCCGCCTTGCTCGATGCTTCGCCAGGACACTGCTTTGGCCCTGGCCTCTCCACTGCTATATGCTCGGCTTCTAGATACCGGCGCACATCCTTCGCCTGCTTGCCTGCTTGCTTTTTCCGCCCGTCGATGTCCGAGCCCGGCGCTTTGCGCGCACCGCATTCGTTCAAGATGGCTTTGCCTCCGGGCTCTCCGTACGTTTCTTTTCCCTTCCCTTGCGTTCACTGCGCGCTCACCCTTCTCTGCCCGGTAGCAATGTCCGCAGACTCACGCACGGTTACGCCATAGCGGTGGAACGGACGGCAGCGGCAGCCTGCGACGGTCAACCGCGCGGGCTGGATCTCTTGCGTCGGGTTCTAGCGTGTCTACAGCGTAGTCAAGCGTAGTCACAAGGCTGCAAGTCATTTCTCCACCCTCTCACATCGGTCCCGCGTCTTTATGAGGTCCAAGCACCGTAGTACGAGCACCCTATCCACCGCTAAAAAATTTCACGTATAAGCCTTGCGCAAGCCTTGTTCGCCCGACCCTCGCCCGAGAGGTGGCGTCAAGCCTTGCTTTGGTGGGCCAGACGTTGGACAAGACTTGGGCAAGGGTCGGGCGGACCCTCGGCTGAGGCTCGGTCCGACCCTTGAAATATGGTTGTGGCCGCCGGCCGTGGATGAGATGCATCTGAGAGAACAAAAAGTGAGAGCGCCGGTTTCGTGAGCAGGCTTGTGGACAACCACCGTAGCTCCCTTTTCGAGCTTGAGGACCGCGAGACTCTCTCTCGAGCTTGTGATCTCGTATAGGCGAGACTTTGTGCGGCCTGCGGTTACTGTGAATGCGCGTAGCTGGAAGTTGCGCGGTGTGAAGATGCAGTCACGCTTGTGTTTGTACATATTTGGCAAAACCGGCACTGCCTTCCAAGCGGTTGCATGGTGTAGTTGGTCATCACGTATCCTTAACACTTGGTGTTCGGATAAGGTCCTCAGTTCAAACCTGGGTGCGATCATCTTTTTTTGCCGATTTCCCGCCGGGCGGGAAACCTTTTGCCGCAACGGCCCTCCCCGTTTTTCGGACGCAAGCACGGGTTGAATTGAAGCCTCTGCCAAAAGACATGCTAACGAAGCCTTGAAAGCGAGCTGAGAAAGTCGCCGCACGTCGCTGATTCACGTGCGCGCTCACAAAACGACGCCTGACTTCCTCCGAGTGGAACCGATGCTCTCGTGCGCGGGCCTGGTGTCGACCGCCGGACGATGCGTCAATCGAGGCTTCCTGCGCTTCGAACGAGTCATCTCGCGCCGCCTCGACCGCGCTACGCAGGCTCTCGGACCCGTCTTTGTCGCGACCGCGATCGTCCTCATCGGCCTGAGCGCCTTTGCCTACTTCGAGGTAAGCCTGCAAGACCTGCCGATTGCGCCGGATGGCTCACTGACTGCGCCGCGGGCAGGCGGTCTACCCCGAGCGCTTCCTACGCGATGATGTGCCATGGTGGTCGACTGCTCTCGGAACGGCCTGGTCCTGCTACGTGGTGCTCATGTTCTCCTTTCATGTCAGTATCCCTTGCTACTTTTACTGCTGCTTTCTCCGGAAACTGACCCGTGAGAGGGACCCGGCGACAGTACTATCTCGCCATTGCGACACCGCCGGGCAATCCGGTCGGCCCCTCTGCGGTCGCAACCTACAAGCAGCTTCCAGTGGTCGGCCAGCTCTTCCTGTCTCTAGTCGCTCCGAAAAACGACGGAGGCCATTCGAGAATCTCGACAGCCGATGCGGACCTCTCCACGTACGAGGCAAAGGGAAGACTAGCGTCGGAATCGCACGACTCGCCACCGGCGGCATCGTCACGAAACCGACGACCGGGTGACAGCGCGAGGAGTGAACGTTACGCACGCACGTGCAAGAAGTGCCCGCCGCTACCGACCGGAAGCAGGTCACCGAAACCAGAACGGACGCATCACTGTTCCGTTTGCCAAACTTGCGTGCTCAAGTTTGATCACCAGTGCGTTCCGAACAGATTCTTCCGAAATCACATACACACCGAATTCAGCTGACGCGACATGTCCGACAGCTGTCCGTGGATCAAGGGTTGCGTCGGATTACACAACGAGCGCTCCTTTGTCCTCTTCCTCGTCTACTTCTCGATCGCATGCCTTTTCGCCGCCTGGTGGGGTTTCGATCCTGCGTGGAAAGCGCTCACTGCAAAGTACAGCGACGATCCGGTAAGTGATCTTGATTAATATGTGCCATTCCAGCACGAGTCCTGATCTGCATCCACAGTGGAATTACCGGACGCCCCGGCTGATCATGCTGCTGGTGGAGGTGCTGGCCTCCATCATGGGTCTAGCAGTCACAGTCATGACACTCAGTCAGGTGAGCTTGAAGGCTTTCTCCAGCGTGGCAGCCTGCCAGACTGATGTGAAAGCACTCTTTGACAGCTTCTCCTTGTCGTCCGAGCCCAAACCAACGTCGAAGCAAGCGACAACAGTACGTCCTTGGTCGCGTACTTCGCATGTAATTTTGAGAGTCTCTCCCGCGAGACCGAATGAGCTGAAGCTCGAAACCCACGCAGGCTGGTATCGTAAAGTGGCGGAATCGCGCGGACGGAAATACCTCAACCCGTATGACCTCGGCTGGCGGGATAATTTGGGCGAGTTCTTCAACGTTGGCGGAGCGCGCGATGGCAAATAGTGGGTCATTTCTTGACCCTCATGCAAGCAGAGCCACGCAACAAGGGTTCGCAGACGACGCTGACCACTGCGACCCCTCGCAGTCACTGGGCAGCTCTTTTGCTCCCGGTAGCTCTGCCGGCGGCAAGCGACGGATGGACATGGCGTAAACGCCCTCACTGGCAAAGATACACGATCGACCCCGAAGACGAGCTCACGGACGAGGAGCAGGCAAGCGAGGGCGAGGATTTTGATGACTAGACGGACGTCTCGCGGGCGAGACGGCCTTTGTTTTGCTTGTAATGATATGCAGAGAGAAGCACACTCACAGTGCCCGTAGCGAGTCTATGATGTGTATCTCTAGGCACTCCTGACCCCGCTGCGATCTCGCCATTCTTCGTACTCTTGGATGACCTCGGGCGTGATTCGCCGCCGAACGCTCTTTGCCGCCGTAACGAAGTGCTTTCGCCGGACCTGCGAAAGGATGGTGCAGGAGTCAGGAATGTGCCGAGCTTTGCAGCAAGTCAGACAGTTCCGAAGGCAAGAGCTTACGTTTGGAGCATTCATGTCCTCATTCATCGCCTCGAGAGCGGCGTCTTGGCAAACGGACGCGCACTCGGCGCCCGAGCACCCGTCAGTCTGGCAGGAAGAGAAGCGACTCTCGTCAGCTCCTCGGAATAAAGTAGAGGTGTAGGCGAGTGCGATCCTGCTAAAGAGACGATACTCACAAGCTCCGCCAGCTCGTCCACGTTCACATCCTCGTTGACAGCCATCTTGGCGAACGTGATCCGGAAGATGTGCTTGCGCGCCTCAAAGTCGGGTGGCGAGACGTACAAGATGCGGTCGAGCCGACCTGGCCGCATCAATGCCGGATCCTGGTTTCAAACGGAGATCTAGTCAATGATCCTGCTGAGCTAGAGCTTGGAGGACTTCCACTCACAATGACATCGGGTCGATTCGTGGCAGCCAGAACGATGACGCCGTTGAGCTCTTCGATGCCGTCCATTTCGGTCAAGAGACTCATCAGCACGCGGTCACCGGTCGGTCCGCTGCTCTCGTCCGATCCACGAGCGGGTGCCAAGGCGTCGACCTCGTCCTACAGAGCGAGGGCAGATATGAGTGGAACGTAGAAGAAAAAAAAAGCGGGACGCAGATTCTCCACTTACGAGAAAGACGATCGACGGGGCTGCCGCGCGGGCTTTTCGGAACACCTCCCGGATCGCGCGTTCAGATTCGCCGACGTATTTGTTAAAGACTTCGGGTCCCTTGACGGCGATAAAGTTGAGGCCGCCCTCGGTCGCGAGCGCTTTCGCGATGAGCGTCTTGCTGCAACCCGGCGGACCGTACAGGAGAACTCCGCGAGGAGGCCGGACGCCGAGTCGTTTGAAGGTATCGGGATGCATGAGAGGCCACTCGACACTCTCTTTGAGCTTGGCTTTGACGTGCTCCTGACCGCCGATGTCGTTGAAGTAGACTTTGGGCGTCTCGAGGAAGACTTCGCGCATCGCAGACGGCCGGGTGGACAGAAGCGCCGTTTCGAGGTCCGACGACTCGAGTCGCATAGACGACAGAGCCGCAGAAGACGCGGCAGGATTTGCTGCAGCGAGTTGCGAGTACGACCGCTTGATGGCCGAGAGACCGGCCGAGTGAATGAGCGACGCCAGGTCTGCGCCGACAAAGCCGTGCGTCCGAGCCGCGACACCTTGGAGGACGTCCTCCGAAATGCCATGCGGTGTTCTCCGCAGCAAGACGCGCAGGATCGAGAGTCGCGCCGCCGCGTCCGGGACGCCAATCTCCAGCTCTTTATCGAATCGGCCTGGTCGTCGCAAGGCCGGGTCAATCGCGTTCGGACGATTCGTAGCAGCGATCACGACAACTCGTGGCGGTTCTGTCGGCTCCTGCGCCTCGTCCGTGTCGTCCTCCTCGTCTCCGTTCCCCCTTTTCGGCTCGCCTTTGTCCTCGAGTCCGTCCATCAGAGTCAACAGCGTCGCCACGACTCGCCGCTCGACCTCGCCACCTTCTTCTCGATTCGGAGCCAACGCGTCCACCTCGTCGATCACGATGATGGCGGGACTCTTTTGCCGCGCTTCGGCAAAGACCTCTCGAAGTTTCGCTTCCGTCTCGCCGTGGTAAGCGGACGAGAGGGAAGGGCCGTTGATCGTGAGCAGAGTCGAGCCGGTGGAGCGCGCTATCGAAAAGGCGAGGAGCGTCTTGCCGGTGCCGGGAGGTCCGTAGAGCAAAATGCCGCGAGGTGGTCGAAGACCTGCGCGACAAAGCCTCTCGAGTCAGCTGGGTCTCCTCGTTTACAGCTGCGAGACACTCGCTGGCGCACCGAAATGACTGAACAGCTCTGGTCGGGTCAGAGGCCATTCGACCAGTTCCCGAATCTGCTCTATCTGCGTTTCGAGCCCGCCGATCTGTTCGTAACCGGGCAAATCTCCATTTGCCTCGTTGCGGTCGGTTCCGGATCCGTTGGCGTTACTCGACGCCGCACGGGCCTTGGAGGATGGGGTGGAAATGGCGCCCGGTGCACGGAAGGTGACGTTGGTGGATCGAGAGACGACGAACGCCTGGCCCGTCGACGTGCCGGACGGAGAAGGAGCGGTTCCATCGAATTGTACCACCGGGGAGCCCTTGGCGGAAGCGACAAGTAGACGCCTGATCACGCCGTTGTACGTGACTTCGATGAAATGATTGATGGCGACATACTTGATGTCGACTGCGTGGAGATGAGTGTGAGGTGGAATTCCCACTTAGCTCTCCGCTCCGCAACGAGGTACTCACCGAGGACCTCCTTCACATACGCCTCGAAGAAGCTGTCTTTGCCCGCTTTGCCTTTCGAGCCGTAGATGAGAGCGATCTTCTCTGCGTCGAGCAGTTCGACCCCAGAGGTTGCGATGGTGCTGACCGACACGACGTCGCCCACGCTCAAACCAGCATTCGCCAGAAGCAGAGGAGACACCGCAACGGCTGAACGGGGTTTCTAGCGTCAGTTTGAGTCGGAAAGGCGTGGAAACAGGAGAAACGCACTTGAGCCGGACATGGTGAAATTTGGCCAGGCCACGCCGACGGCAAAGGGCGCCGGAGATGGCGGCTGCGCGCCTGCTTCACTAGTGCCCTGTCCCGACGAATGGCGTCAGCATCGTCCCTGCTCCGCCACAGAAGGGAAGCCAGCGAAACTCACCTCTCCCAGCTGCAGCTTCCTCATCTCGTCCTCGATCGCCTCCGAGCTCTGCTGCGCCGGCATCTTCCTGAGGACGAGAGCATCTCCCGCGCAGATCTTGACGGCCTTGAGGATCTCGGGAGCGAGGTGGATGCGCTTGAGGTGTCGCGAGTGCAGCGG